TCTAAACCTAATAGTTTTAACTGTAAATTAAATTCTATATTATTTCCTAATTTCCAGAAAAGATTCACATGTGTTATTTAATGCCGTCAGAAACAATCTAACACAAACAGCAACTTCCTTCATTGCTACATTCATCTTAATTTTTAGGCTACATGAACTTTAATTAGAAAGGCCATTAGCCCAAGAAATTGTGTGTGTGTACAGGGTAGGCGGTTAAAACAAAACTCATCACTAAACGCCTTTACCTTTGTCTGGCAAACTCACTGGTTAAATATTCAGCATGATGTAGTCGAAGGACAGGCTTTGGAGCCATGCAGATCTAAGATCCAGTCTTAACTCTATTTGCTAGCTATTAGCAAGTACACAAGTCACTTAACTTCCATGAGCCTCTGCAGAACCTGGAGATAGAGGTTATCACTCTCTCACACAGTGGTTGTGAGAATCAAATGAAACAGCGTATGTGAAGGACCTCTCATGGTGCTTTTGGCAGATAATCAACAAATGTTGGCTCCTTCCATTAACTTCTGGCTATCATCATTCCCAGAACTATTGTTGACTCCTAGTAAGAAGCATTGTGGACTCTCCTTCACAGTTACAGTCCAAATAATCTGATTAGCTTAATTGGCTTAAAATTAACTAGCTATTGATTAATAAAATATTTAACAAATATAAGATATTGATTAATAAAATATTTTATGTACATAAAAATATTTAAAATAAAGTACTTTACAAATACAAACTCTAAACTTCTCAGTTAATATTGCTATACATCTCTGTCCATCCTGACCTTGTCTTCTGTTGGTCATGTGGCAGAAGAGTCAAGAGAATCAGGGTATCTGGACTGGGGACATAGCATTATGACCATGACAAATGAGAAGCAGTGTTGGATATTGACATGAGGTCTGGAGGAGAACTAAGATTCTTGACCTCTGACATGAAAGGATACTACAACTTGGACTGTCACCAAATTTCTGAGCTTTAGTTTCCCAATCTGTAACATGCAATTAAGAACCTTGTCCTACCTAGCGTATGCAGTTGTTTTATATATCAGATAAGATAATGAAGATAGAAATACAGAGACAAACAAAAGGTATTGTTGCTGCAATTATGAAGCCATGGACCAATAATCAATGAGTTCTAGAAAATAAGCACTGTATTTATAACCACAGTAGTTTAAATGGGTCAGCTAAGGTTTTGGATTGCCTAGAACTTCTCCCTGCCTCCTTCCTTCCTGCTCCTCAGACACAGAGATGGGCACGTAACCTAGGGAGAGCCAATTATCACTCCTCCTCCCCTGGTCACAATGCTTGGTTCAAGAGATGGGCACTTGACCCAAGACGGGCCAGAGTTCTCCTCCTGAAATTTTCAAGATGGATCTGCAAGAGAGAGAGGCTCCATTTCTCGTCTGGCCACTTAACTGTGAGGATGAGCCTCTGTGATCATATCTCCCCATGCTCCCTTCTCAACAACACCCTTTAATCTGCAGTAGGAGAGGAGGCAGAAAGAGATGAGAGACAATGAAAGAAAATCTCTAATGAAACCCAAGTCTCTGGTTCCAACTTGATTATGTGAACCAGTAAATTTTCCCTTTTTGTTTAAGCAAGCATAGATAGGTTTTTTGTCATTTGCAACCAGACACTTCTGGTCAATAGTTGGTCAAGAACCTATGTCTATGAGTATTATGAATTGCTAACAACGGTTTTCTCCTCTTCTCCACAGTCAAGACTAATCCTTAAAAAAAAAAAAGGTAAAAAGAGTACATTTTGTAATGACAAATACGCCAACTAACCTGATTTGATCATCACATATTGTACACAAATACTGAGAGTCAACTCCTTACCCCACAAATACATATAATCAATTTTGTTTCAACTAAAAAAAATAGTAAAAGCACAAATTAAAAGGCCTTTTTAATTCTATTCCTCTATTTATTCTATTCCTCCCCATTGCTGGAGGAATTATTCCTGCTCCATTTCTCTGATCCCTCCAGAGAAAAAACTCTTGAGAAATTTCTCACAGTCTTTACATCCTTACATTCCATTCTCCCCCCCACCCCCACTCCATTCCCATCTCCATCTTCACCACATCGCTGAAAAGGCTTTGTCAATGTTATCCATGACATTCATTCCCAAATCCATTGGTTTTCTGTCCTTATCTGGCTGGAATTCTCAGTGACATTTGTTACTGAAGAGCTTGCTCCCCTTCTTCAAACACTCCCTTCATTTGACTTTTGAACCCTGCACCCTCCTGGTTTTCTGTATATATCATTGACAGTTCTTCCTCCTCTTCTAAATCTTTAAATGTTGGAGTGTCTCAGGACTCAGTCCTGGCCTCCCTCCTCCTTGCTCTCTGTGTTCGTTCCTTTGATAATCTCACTCAGTCCCATGCTTTAAATCTATATTCAGATGGACTTCCAAATATGTATCTCCAGTCTGGGCTTCGTCAAACTCCAATTCAATGTATATTTGTCCATCTCCACCTGGATATCTAGTAGACACTACAAACATGTCCCTCATCTTCCCCATCAGAGTAAATGACGTCAGCATCGACCCAGTTGATAAGGCCAAAAGCCAGAGGCCGTCCTTAATTCCTGCCTTTCCCTCATTCCTCAACTAAAACCATCAACAAATCAGTTCACTCTCCTTCTGAAATACACCCCAAGTCATCACTTACCTTTATCTCACTGCCTCAACAATACTCCATCATCTGTCTCCAAAATTATTTCATGAATCTTCTACCAATTTTTCATCCACTATGTTCTTCATACAGCAACCAGAGTGATCATGTTAAAGTGTGTATCTAACCAAGCAAGTCCTCAACTTAAAACCCTCTCCTCCTACTTCAGATAAAACCCAAACCTCTTGCCCTGGTGTGCCACTAGCTTCCACCCCTGTGTCTATGCTCCCTTTTCCTTCAGTAGTTGATCGCCTGTCCTCAGCTCAGCACATGGCTGAGCATGCTCCTTCCTTGTTTTTTGCTGCTCAACTAAAGACTACAGTGTTCATCTTCTCATGTAGCTAGCTGTGGCCACATAACTAGCTTTGGGTTAGAAGCTATAAATGAAGATGCCATAGGCTACTTTCAGGAATTTCCTTAAATGGAAGAGGCAGGCCCTCATTTGCCTTTTTCTCCATTCTGCCACATGGGATGTGAATGTGATGGCTGGAGCTGCAGCAAGTGCTTAGACCATGAGGATAGGGGCCTCATCCTAGGGAAGGCAGAGCAGTTTGGGGTGCTTGGGGGCCGGGGTCAGGGGGAGTTGGATTGCTGATGATTTTGAAGCCATGTACCAGCCCAGGAGTGCCTTACTTCCAAAAGTTTTTCCCACAAAAGAAAAAATCTCATGTTCAAGCTGCTGTTATCCATGGGGTTTAGTCATGTGCAGACGAACTGAAGCCTGACACAACTGGCCCACAAGATAAAAGCGTCCCTGCCTACCTGTCCAACCCCACCTCCTTCACCCTCTATCTGGTTCACCCCCTGCCAGCCACACTGGTCTTCTCTGTTCCTCAGACATTCCAGTCTTGTTCCTCCATAGCTCGCTGCTCTGGCTGTTCCTCCAGCTCGAAATGCTCTTCCCTGCTCTCCATGTGACTGATGGGTTCCTTCTTATCACCCAGGCCTTGTCTCAAATGGCTGTCCCTCTGTGAAGCCCCCCTGTCCACTGAGTCTCAATGGCCATCCTGTTATCACTACCGCATCGCCTGGTTTGGCTTGGTTTTCCCTGTATTGTATCCCCAGTGCCTGAAACCATGCTAGACACACACCAAGTATTCAATATTTAGGGGATAGATGAAGGAAGAACCCAAAGAATAAGTGAATTTCATATCGCATTTCTTCACTGAGGAGAGTAGATAAGGGCAGAGTCTACATTGTTCTCAAATGATATTATAATGTGGAGAATGATGCCTTGACATTGTCACTAGAGAAATAGAGAAAATATGTCCAAATTAAAACAAGCTGCATGTCCATGCCCTCACTGCCTAGACAAATTCAATTCACCAAACATTTGTAGGACACCTGAAATGGGCCAGGTGCTGGAGAACACAGAGATAAACATGTTAGATTGCTCACAGGACTTTCCAGGTAAGACAAGAAACATGCACATTTCATTCAGTTTGATAGTTACTATGAGAGCTAAGATGTGATAAATGTGAGTTGAATGCCTTGGACTATGTGCAATATTTATAACCAGATCATGGGCCACCATATAAAGAGTTTTAAACTTATTCTGAATGCAGCAGGAAACCACGAAAAGGTTGTGATAACAGGAATACCATAATTGGGTTTAATTTTCATAAAGATGAGTCTGGCAGCCATGAAGGGTGGATTGAAGTGACTGCAGGAATGTGGCAAACCAGAAAAAGCAGGTTTGCAACATTCTAGACAAGAGATGGTGATGGCCTCTGCTAGTGAAAACGGAAAGAAGAGGACAGACTGGAGGACATTATGGAAGTAGAACTTACAGGGCTTAGCGACTGACGGGATGTGCCTGGAGTGGAGGTCGATGGTGGGTGGAGAAGGGTCCGGGCTGTCCCCAGGTGTTTGTGTGGGTGGCGGTGTGGGTCATCAAAACAGAATGAAGAAGAGGAGGCAGATTTCAGAAATGCCTCATAGTCATTCATTCAAGTGTCCATTTGCCACATAACCACGATACGCCATCAGGTGAGAGGGACACGGTCTCTCCCTCCCAGCTGGACACAAGCACCTGACCGCCCTGTGGTGTGAGGGGGTCGTGATGAGGGGAGGAGAGGGCCTGATGGGGCCCCGGAGAGGAAGCTCCCCCTAGGGTGGTGTGAGGGAGGCCTGCCTGAAGGAGTGGCGACTGAGACCCAAGGAGAGGTGGGCACAGAGCCATGAGAGCGGCGCGGAGTGCCCAGGAGGAGAGAACGGCATGAGCCGCGCCCTGCAGGTGATAGAGAGGGGTGTGAGTGAGGACTGGAGGGCGGGATTTGAGGTGCTGGGGTGTCCTAAACCACGTAAGGGATCAGGGGCTTTACCTTAAGGGGACAGCAAGCCACTGAAGCTGGGGAATAAGAGCCATCTGGTCAGGCAGCACATCTTCACTGCACATTTGCCATAATCCAGACACAGGTCCAGGGGAAGGATGCAGCACAGAACACGACAGAGAAGGACCTGTGGATCTCATGTTCTAGAGAGGAAGAAAAGAAAGAGTAAATAAAAGAATGAAAGGACTAGAGAGGGAGGGAGGAAGAGAGCGAAGACGCAAGGAGGGAAGTTGGGAAAAAATCAGGAAAAATAAATCATCTACGCCAGCGGCTTTCAAGCATTTTTCACTTCAAGTGGCCATGGAGCCAGTTCCGATGGGATGCTCGTGGACAGTCTCTATGAAGAGGTGAGAGCTGAGTGGGACCCTGAGCGACAGCAGAAGCCAGCCACGAGCAGGGCTGCGAAGGGCGCTCCGGGCAGAGACCCGCAAGAGCCCGATGTTAAGGCGCAGAGGTGAGGCGACGCTGCCCGGGGCAGAGAGGTGGCGGGCGCTAGACCGTAGTGAGCATGGGGGCCGGGAAGACCTGAATCCAGAGAGGCAAGAGGACAGTGGAAAAACATGAGAGGCAGGGAAGCCACGCATTTCAAAAATGTTCCTGAAGCCCGGCCTGTTTTACTCTCTTGTACTAGCTGCCTGCAGGCTGCGGGCATTTGAGTTTCCAGTGCAAGGCTATGGTCGTGGGGTTTTTCCCCTTTTAAATAGATTTTATTTTTTAGAGAAGTTTTAGGTTTGCAGCAAAATGGAGCGGAAACTACAGAGAATTCCCGCATACCCCTCCCCACACACTCACAGCCTCCCCTGCTATCAACATCCCCCTCAGAGGAGTCCATTTGTCATATTAGATGAACCTACACTGACGTCATTATCACCCACAGTGCAGAGTTTTCATCAGGGTTCACTCTTGGTGCTGTGCATCCTATGGGCTTCAACAAGTGAATAACGACACGTATCCTTATCATAGTGTCATCCAGAGGAGTTTTGCTGCCCTACAAATCCTCTGCACTCTGTCTATTTATCCTTCCATCCTCCCTAATCCCTGAAAACTCCCACTTTTGCCTTTTTTAGAATGTCATATAGTTGGAATCATGTAGATGACTACAATTTTTAAAAGTTGATGTAAGTGAAGAACTCAGAACACATCAAATGCTTTTCTGCAAGGAAATTATGTAAAACATAAACGAGTATTCGCGGATCACACGGTCCTCCCTGTGGATGACGTGTCACATCTTCAAAGGACCAACCTGACCAAATGGAGCTGGGTGTGTGTGGCGTGACCGCACCTGGCCCCCGCGCTGCCCTTCAGACACGCTCACTACCTTTCCTCATTTTAGCTGGAGAAAACAGGTTCGGAAGGTCAACGACTTGCCCAAGTTTTTCCAGCCAGGAAGAGTGAAATGACATCATGAGCTTCAGAGACGAATCAACTTGGCCTTGAGTATCAACACTGCCTCCATCTGCATCATCTGGACAATTGCAACAGCTTCACTCATGCATATAAAACATCTCAAATGTGGCTCTTGGAGTTCATCAAAAAATATCATTATTCTGAGAGGCTTTGATATAATTACCTCATTCTTTTTATCTGCTTATGCCATTTCATAGTAGAGATGTACATAGTTTATTTAAGCAACCCCCATCTCCACCGATGCACACTTAGTATTCTTTTTTATACACTTGCATTTCGTCATTGTTGTGTCATGGCTGTGATTATTTATGTAAACTGTTACAGTAAACATCGTTGTGCATATATTGTTGCTCGCTCTTTGTAATATGATAAGTTTCTGAACACACTGGGTCAAAAAGCATGGGCATTTAAAATTTTTTATAGCTATTGACAAATTGCGATCCAAACATATTGTACAAATTTATGCTCCTACCAAAAGTTATGAGATTATTATCTTCCTTTTATTTTCCAATTCTTTGCTGCTAATGTATGAGAATGTAATTGACTTTTTTTATATTAACCTTCTATCTTCTGACCTTGCTAAATTCACTTGTTAACTCTCATAATTGTTTCTTAGATTTCCTGGTATTTTCTAGGTAAACAACTATATTACCTGCAAATAAAGACAATTTCATTTCTTCCTTTTATTAAAAAATGTATGAGAGTTTGGTTTCCATTAGGCTTCTGATGTCACTAGTTCGTGAGTTCTTTAAAACTTCTGGAGGGGAGATTATTTAACTTTATTTAATGATTCTTTCTGACGGTATTCTCATTAATATCAAAAATACTTACATTCTATTCTGTACCTATAATTCTGAAAGTGATTTAGCTGCAGTTCTATATTTAAATTGGTTTGGTGCTCACCAACAGTCTTTTTATACTATGGCTTTTCCATTTGTGAGCTCATCTTGATTCACATTTTGGCTGAGTGGATTTCATCTGGTGGTTTCTTTCAAAAAGAATTTTTGAGTTTTTTGTATATATACATTTGATGTCTTTATGTTGCCATTTATAAATAAACAACACTGAGATGGTATAAAATTCTTAGGCTTATATTTTATTTTATCTCTGAGGATTACGTATACATCTATCCATTATAGCTTGGCATTGCATGTTACTGTGGAAAAATCTGAATCCAACCTAATGTTGAGGTGATAGGGTGGGCGGAATGACACTTCAGGTAAGCAAGAGTCTCCTAAACCAGATAAAGGATTTGGAACAACCTAATATTTGTTCCCCGGTAGATGACAGGGTTTTTCTGCCTGGATGCCTGTGGGAGTCTTCCTTTATCCTTGATATTCAGAAACATCTCCGGAATGTATATGTCTGCATATATATTCCATGTCAATTATCCCTTTTGATTTGCAGGTTTTTATCTCCCTTTAGAGAAAAAAATGATTCTATTACAGCTTTAAATATTTTTTCTGGAATACTTGCCTGCTTTCTACCTCAGGAAATACCTAGCATATATCTGCTGTATTGTGCTGTTTCTTGTCCACACACATTATCTTCCTTTTAGTTGCTTTAAATTCCTTGGTCTGTTTCTCCAGCCTGTCTTCCATATCATTGATGGTTTTCAACAGTGCTTATTCTTTGTCTCACTGCTTCCCATGCAAGTTTTCATTTCCATAATGTTTTGTTATCCTCCTTTTATCCCCCTGAGTTCTCACAGTTCATGTTCATTGTTTTATCTGAGAATTCCCTCATTATCATTCCTCCATATACAAGTATTTTTCCTCTGCCTTTTTGCTGGCTCTTCTTTTGACCTTTTCTTTGTAGTATCTCATGTAGTTCCCATATTGGATTGTTGCTGTCTATTATGCATCTTTGAGTGGCACACTTATATCCAAGTCTGTTCATGGTGTGAGAAGAGCTGGGGGTGCGGGCGGCAGTCATCCACGGCATAGGTAGCTGGTGAGTTCAGTTTGGATCTGTTGTCTCAGAATTTCCTCACCAGATATGCTTCCTCCCATCAAGATAAATATGTCACCCTGCAGACAGTCTACAAGGTTCACACTGGAGCCTCCCAGCTCCCAGTTTTTTGTGTTAAAGGACCCTCCATTCCCCAAGCTTCACATTTCCACAAGGACACCTCCATGGGAGAGGACACATCTGTGGGAGTATCACTCTTGGCCTCTTTCTGCTGCTCCCCCAACTTTTCTCCCAGAGGCAGGATAACCTCTTTGGTAAATTTCTGAGAAAGAGTAAATCATGCTAAGCTAACCTCTTCTGGTATTCTTTTTCAGATTTGCCTTCCCACAGAGTCCTGCTATCCTGATACATGAGGGAAGCTTACTGGGGCAGGCTCTGCCCTGTGGAGGAAGGTCTTGCACCGAGTGGGTGAGTTTAATTCTAGAATAAGCTGTTAGGAAGCTCTTTGTCTCTACACTCAAGCCATATCCTTCAATACCTATAATATAGTTGATATTTTATGTTCAACTGTCATTCATATCTTATCTCTCATTTGCTTCCAAGCCTAGGAGTGTAAGAAAGGAGTATCATTTTTGAGTCCCTAAAGCCCTAACATATTGGTGAGTTGGCATGAACCGTGAGAAAGATAAAAATGAGTATCTACAGGCCAAAGTAATACAAGGAGATTGAGCTTCTGGTGTGGTCAGGGCAGGAGCTGTCGGGTTTTACTGCTCCAGTAAGTGTGAGCCAAGCAGTATTTTGACCTTGGCAGGTAACCACAGCTTATTGCCTACCAAAGAATGGCTGTTGTTATAGATATGGGGCTATTTTAGCAGGCCATAGTGAGCATGAGCTTTTAAGACTGCCTTTTGTTATATACTTCAGTCTCCTGTGGAAAGAAAATGACAGGGAGAGTAATTTGCTCTCAGACCCAACAGGCAGATTGAGCTGGAGGAACAGAGAGCTGTCCTGAGGCCAGAAAGATGCAAAAAAGGAAAGGAAATGCACACATGTCTAAACACATGAAAAAGGGGGATTAGATTAGATCAGATTGGGGACTGGGAACCAAAGAAATCTTTCAGAGACAGAAAGGCAAGATTTCAGATAGCCAACTGAAATCAGGAATACACCCCCACCCCCACCAGACGGAACCAGATTCAGGGAGCTGTTAAAAGCCTCTTAAAGCCATGAATGCTGTCCAGAATAAATGCAGTTGGGGAGTGTGGCAGTTATCGTATGCATGTCCCATCACTTATGTCGGGTATGTGGAAGGCAGATCATTTGTTTTAGTTCACAGATCTTCAAATTGAGGGAAGACATTCACCTGAGAACTACACCTGATGAGCTACATTCACCCTGGATCCATTTCAGATGATAAGATCCTGGACTTGGAGCTGATGCCATATGGTATGAGATTTTAGGGGTCTTGGGAAGGGGTGAGTGTATTTTACATGTTGAAGTAATGTAAATTGTAGCCAGAGGGCAAACTATGCAGATTGTTTTTTCAAAAATGGCCACAACCATATCTCCTACGCCACATGTTCTTCTACAGGGTGACCCCGATGCTCCTTCCACCCAGAGGTGGGGTCTTTGGGCTTGACACTCCTCCCACCTTCTCACTTGCTTGTAATCCATAGCCTTCAAGTGGCTGCAGCCTCCAGCCGTCTAGTCACCCCAGCCTCTGAGTCTTCCCAGCTGAGGCTCAGACATCATGGAAGTAGACAGGCTGTTCTCACTGTGTTCTTTCCAAATTCCAGCCCACAAAATCCCTGAGTATGATAAAATGATGGTTATCTTATGCCACTAAATTTTGGGTGGCTTCTTATGCCGTAATTGGAAGAGAAAACTGCCATGTGAGAATCCCAGGAAGAGTAACATAGAATATTGAAGGAATTATTAGATGATCAGAGCAAAACATTTATTGTGGGGCAGGGGTTTGTCATACCCTAAAGAACAGGTTAAGAAACAGGCAGAGTTAGTACTCTAAAGACAGGCAGTGGAGGACCAGACATGCTGAAGGGAATCTAGACAGGACAATGATAGTTTGAGTCCACGCCTGGGGTAGATTTTTGGTTTAATTGGAAAATGCCTTTTGAGTGAGATTATGCAACTCAGAGAGGTGAGGGTTGACAAGATTTGTTTGGACAACAATTGCTTTTGGCAGACCCATAAAACATTGACTTCATTTCTCTCACTGTGATATGAGAAAAGTTTATGTTTGAAAAACAAATGTTTGACCCAGAAAACAATGACAAAGTAAAAGGAGGAAAGCCTAACAAAAACACCAGCCTTACATGTGGTAGAGAAGGAAATGGACTAACTTAAGAACTTGGTTAAACCATTAAACCATTAACTATCCAACCGAACCTTTCTGGGCAGAGAAGGAGAATACAGAGGGAAATGAAACACAAGAAGCACATCCCAACTTCAGAACAAAAGATTTTTTTAGTAGAATGATATGCTTGCCATGTTCAAAAGCTGCGGAAAGATAGCATCTGCAAGAGCATACAGCAGGAGCAACAGATAAACTTCAAATGTCCAAAACAGCTTCAGCTCAGGAATCTGCTAGGGCTGACCCTCAGACTGAAGCCAATAAGGGAATGAGGGAGCAGCTTCCTTAGGAAGCAGAATTCACAGGCATACATAGTTCTGGAGCTAGAGTGCAGACAGAGCCTGAAACAAGGGCTCAGAATGGAAATGAAATTCAGGAGCTTCCTTCCTTCCTTCCTTCCTTCCTTCCTTCCTTCCTTCCTTCCTTCCTTCCTTCCTTCCTTCCTTCCTTCTTTCCTCCCTCTCTCTCTTTCTATCTCTCTTAGATCAGATTGGGGACTGAGAACCAAAGAAATCTTTCAGAGGCAGAAAGGCAAGATTTCAGATCTATCTCTCTCTCTCTCATGCCAGTTGGGAAGGAAAAGTGCCACAAATAAAATCAGGAGCCTAGGATGTTATTGCTGCAGATTTTTAAATTCTGAAAATGGGCAGGAATGTTTTAAATGTCACTCTCTGGGAAAGGATGCCATGTGTTGACCAAATAGGGAGAATTCATTACCATATTAACCTCCTGTTGTGAGAGGTCTGCCAATGGAACTAAGTACCCAGATGTTGGCC